CAGCTCTCTCCTCTCTTCTCTTTGTGACTCCAGTTCATAGCACCATCTCTCTCCTCTCTCTGGAGCCTTTGCAATGTGCTCCACCATGACTTAGGGAGTGAGCATGTGGGGACTTCTCAGATTTTGTCTTTCTCTGTCATAGACTAAGATGGAAAGGCTGTTTTCTTTAATGCTTCTCATCATTTCCACCCCAGAAACCAGATCCTCTCTCCTTTTTTATCTGTGGAAATGTGATGAAAGAAGTCTTGCCATCTGTTTTGCCGCTGCCCCAAAAGGACCAGGCGGATCTTCCTGACGTGCAGCTGAAACCTTCCCACCAGCTGTCCCCGGCCTTCGAATGGGGACTTCTGGGGAGCCCTGACCATCTGACTTTTAGGCTTCTATCCCCAGGTTAGCATGGGCTAAGCAGCGCTTTCATTCAGTCCCTACTGGTGAATGAATGGCACATCCTTGGGACATCTGCCTTTGGCTGCATGGCCCTGGGCAAGGCTGCCCCTGCCTTTCCCTCCTATGTGCTAGCCCCTGCTCTCAGGGAGCTCCCAAATAGGGGCTCCACGGTGGTCAGCCAGTTTAGGGACAACGTGAGAGCTGGTGACTCACCGGGCTCGGGGCTACCTTTGCTTTGAGGGGCATTTGTGCGAGGTGGCGCATCCAGCCCTTTGTAAGAGTGGGCACCCCTGACACAGTCAGATCCACCTTTTAAAGGATGAACCTATCATTAAGGGATTATTACCTGCCCTCTCTGGGGCAGACAGAGAGCTCCAGGAGAGGTCATGGGATCCTCAGTCTAGGGCAGGGCTTCTTAAACTTTTTCCAGTCATGACCCCTTTTTCAGCTGAGAAATTTTTATGTGACCCTGGGGTGTACAGTTATATAAAATAGGCATAGAAATCAAACATTAGCTGATAATAAAGCATGAAGAAATTTATTTTAAAACAATTCTTTGGTATACATATAATTTTACCATTTATTAAGGATGAAAGCAAATTTGCATATCAATGAGATGGATATGCAGGTTTATTCCTACATAAAGAAATACATCTTGGCGGAATATTTGATACTGCGGGATGTAGAGCATCTTCACCGTTTTTTTCAGAGTTGACTGATAGTTCGATTTTCTAATTGTCAACACAGTGCAAAGTGTGCAGAACCAAGGCAGCAGGGAAACTGAGCATGGGACCATGGGCAAGTGTGGCCAGGAGCACCTCGGATTCATTAAGCACCGGATTTTGAGTTAATTTTTGGCATTGAGCGTTCGGAAACCTTTTACTGCTGCCATATTTTTCATGGAGTTGTGACCCACACTTTAAGAGGCACTGGTCTGAAGCCAATGAATGCATTCATGCCTGCTTGGGGCAGCACGGAGCCCGATTCAAACCCTGCCTCTGACACTTCTATCTGTGTGACTCTGGGCAGGTCACTTTACCTCAGTTTCCCCAATCTTAAAATGGAGATTATGACAACACCTCCCTCTTGGCAGAGTTGTGAAGATCAAAGAAGGTAATGTTTGTAAAGAACCAGGCATGAAGTAGTTGCTTCATACAGGCTTGTTTCCTTCCCTTCCCCTTGTTACAACGGAGGAAACTGAGGCTCAGGGGATGGGAGCAGCCCAGCAAGGACCTGGACTCACTGCTGCACAGTGGGAGGGCTGCGGTTACTGGCTCCTTTCTGGAGGACCGGCCACACCCCCTGCCCTTCCCTAGGACCCGGGTCCCGCCTCCCGCTGGGTCTCCTGTTGACCTGGGGGCCCCTTGAGGCAGAGACCCCGCTTTTTTTGCTTTTCTTTGCACCCCCAGGGCTGAGTACATTGAGGGTGGCGCTAAGCCGAGGCGCAGATCCAGACCGACTGACTGTCAAGGTGGGGGCGGCGGGCCTGGGTAAGGTCACATGACTGCAAGGCCAAGCGCCCAGAAGGCTCGCTTCGGGACACGTGATCCCCTCCTCATTCATAATTATACCCGGCAGGGTGGCGTGACTGACAGGAGTAGCAGCCAATCAGAGTTCGGTCAGGAAAAGGTGGGGCGGCAACCCTCACCCCCACGCACACCCTCCCGCGTTCGCCTAGCTCCTCTTTTGTTACGGGAAGCGGCACCTAGCCAATCAGAAGTCCCGGCCCGGATCATGCGATCTCTTCCGTCATCGAGAAGGACGTTGAGCCAACGAGCATTTGGATAGCCATCACGTGGTCTCTCAAACTCCCAATCCGGGGAAGGGACAGGCGGAGGGCGGGGCGAATCAACATTCTCTTAAGGGGGAGGTATGGAGCGGAACGGGCTCAGCGCATGGGCACGGGCACGAGCACGGGCACGGGCTCAGGTATGGGCGCGCGCCCGCTAGCGGGGACTCCTGGTTCCCTCCCCCTCCCCCGGTGGAAGAACGCGCTCTGTTCCGGCCCCGCCCGCTAGAGAGGGGGGCTGCGCGCGCACCAGGGGACTGTGATGGTGGAGGGAAGGCACTGCAGACATCACGCAGGCGCAGTTACCCTCCTAGTCTCTTCCCCGCCCCGCCGCCTTTGTGAAGTCGCGTGCCCTGTGGGGGCGGAATCGAGCGTCCCGTGGCGCCTGCGCATCCCCATTTCACAGGGAAGCAAACTGAGGCAGCTCGGGCTCTTGTGGCCGAGTACCAGAGGATCTGAACCCAGGGCTTCCTGACGGTTGTGATGGAGCCAGTGATGATGAAGATGATTGAAATATAATGATAAAAGTGCAAACAACTTTGATGTTTTCCCTGATGAAAAATGCTGTCTGCGTCCAGAGAAAGAACTGATGGGCTCTGAACGGAAACTCGCAGTTTCTCACTCTATCTTTTTGGTGTTTTTTCCCCTTTGAGGCTTCCACAGCGTGACTATATGAGAACCTGGGCTGCTCATTGCACCGTCCGACCCACGTCACGTGGCTCACTAGATGAAGGGAGGCTAGGAGAGGACGGGCCCCAGATGCTTTTAAACCGAATGTTAAAGTGGCCCGCACGTGTGCCTGGGGGAAATAAAAGTAATGAGTGAATTGCCTTGATTAGGTGAAGCATCTGCCCTCCCAAGGGGGGCCGCTGGACTGGCCTGGGTCACCACTCCTGTCCCACCCAGTCTGCCGTCAGGCCCCCTGAGAGCCGGTGTAGGGGTCTCGAGAACAGACAGATTCCCTCATTCCCTGGGCCGCTCATCATTTCACAGGGGAGGCTGACAGAACGGTGGAGGGCCCAGAGATCTGGCCTGGAGAGGGCTAGCTGAAGGACGTGGAGGGGGGCAGCCTGGAGCAGCGAAGGCTTCGTAGCTCAGACCAGATCAGTAAATGTGGATTCCGGGCCTCCTTGGGCATAGATACGGAGAGAGAGGAGTGGATGGCCTCACAGAGCTGACTTTTGGCTGGGGATGTACCTCCTAAGATAGTAAGAGGAGGGAAGAACAGGAGCCCCCCAGGATGAAAAGGTCAAGCTTTAGCTGGGAGCACTTCAAGCAGCCTTACTGGAGACTCAAGGAGATGAAGGATGTTCGTTCTGGTCATGGGGTATAGCTTGTGGCAGGATATGGAGGCAGGGGCAGGAATGTCAGACTGGGGGAAGGGCTAGCAGGCCAGTTTGAGTGGAAAGCAGTTAGCCCCAGGGGAATAATTTGAAAATTTGGGGCTAGATTGACTGTAAATTTAAGGCTGTAGAGTGTGTACTTTACCCAAGAGGCAATATGCAGCTCTTGAAGGTTTTTTCAGGAGGTCAGTGATATACTCAGATCTGTGTCTTAGAAATATTAATTGGACAACTGTGTGAAGGTTGGGTTGGAGATGGAGTAAACCAGAAGCAGGGAGGTTTGTAATAGTCCCAGCAAGAAGATGAGGCGCCAGTTGTGTGGGTGGAGAGGAAGGGGTTCCTGATGTTCTGATGGTAGAATTGGCAGGGCTGGCAATGGATGGAATATGGTGGGAGGGTTCAAGAGGCGGACGAGGTTGTGACTCGGGGTCTGGAACGACCCCGGCTGACCTGGAGCCCTCTGTAGACAAGGCACCATTTCATGTTCCCAAGATGCTTTTGAGGGAAAGAATCTTCCCTAAGTCTGACCCAGCTGACTGCCTCTCTGGGTCAATGGCACCCTCCGCAGGAATCAGGAATAGATTTTATTTTAACATTTACTTTCATAAGATTTTTGAGTTCTAAATTTTCTCCCCTTCCCTCCCCTCCCCCCTCCCAAGATGGCATGCAATTCGATATAAACTATACATATATAGTCATATTAAACATTTTCACATTAGTCCTGTTGTGAAGAAGAATTAGAACCAACGGGAGAAACCACGAGAGGGAAAAAACAACAGAAAGAGAGCAAATAGTCTGCTTCCATCTACATTCAGACTCCGTAGTTCTTTTTCTGGATATGGACAGCATTTTCCATTGTGAGTCTTTTGGTGTTGTCTTAGATTCTTGCACTGCTGAGAAGAGCTAAGTGCATCAAAGTCAGTCATCACACAGTGTGGCTGTTACTGTGTACAATGTTCTCCTGGTTCTGCTTATTTCACTCAGCATCAGTTCATGCAAGTCTTTCCAGGTTTTTCTGAATTCTGCCTGCTCATCATTTCTTTTCTTTTTCTTCTTCTTCTTCTTCTTTTTTTTTTTTTTTTTGACTAGGCAGTGGGATTAAGTGACTTGTCTAGGGTTACACAGCTAGTAAGTGTCAAGCATCTGAGGCCGCATTTGAACTCGGGTCCTCCTGACTCCAAGACCAGAGCTCTATCCACTGCACCACCTAGCTACCCCCTGCTTATCATTTCTTATAGCACAATAGTATTCTATCACATTCATATACCACAACTTGTTCAGCCATTCCCCAGTTGATGGACATCCTCTCAATTTCCAGTTCTTTGCCACCACACAAAGAGCTGCTATAAATATTTTTGTATATTTGGGTCCTTTTCCCATTTTTATGATCTCTTTGAGATACAGCCTTAGAAGTGATATTGCTGGGTCAAAGGGCATGCACAGTTTTATAGCCCTTTAGGCACAGCTCCAAACTGCTCTCCAGAATGGTTAGATCAGTTCACAACTCCATCAACAACGCATGCCCATATTTCTGAGGAAGGTACCAGGTTAGCCATCTTTCACTTCTACTCCTGGTTTGGATTCGGACTTTCTGGCCTTTCCCAGTGCAGGCCCACCCCCATATGAGTGAAAGCTCCTTGTGGGCAGGAATGGTTTTTCCTTTGGCTACCCCCCAGTGCCTAGTACAGCAGCCAGCATGTGGAAAGTGCTTAACAAGTGCTTGTTGGCTTGGCTTGACTTGACTGCCTGGTAAGTGACTCTCCCCAGGTTCCAAAGCCAGAATGTGTCAGAGACAGATCTGAACCCAGATTTTAACCAAGACTGAGGTCAGCTCCCTATTGATCATGACACACTACCCTAGTACCATTTGGGAGGCGTGGAGTTACCTCCTGTTGCCACCAGGTGGCGCTCCTGCATAGAGAAGGAAAAATCCTGGTTACTGAGTGTTGTGGGTGAGCCCTGCAATTCCTGGGTCAGCTAGCTCATGACCTTGGGGCCCATCCTAATTAGTGGCAGAGTAAATTGTAAGAGGGGCAAGGGGGTGAACTGCTTGTGATTTTAAGGCTGTTTTTTCCTTGCCAGGGAAAGCAGAGGAAATGTTGCAGGGAGGGCCAAAATAGGGGCTGCCATCCATTCTCCTTTATGTTAGTATTAAGGGTGCTGAAGGTGGAGTCTGACGACCTGAGTTCAAATCCCACTTTGTGATCTTGGGCAAGTCACTTCAATCTCTCTGGGCCTTAGTTTTCCTTTGTGCATGGCAGACCCTGCTCCCAAGGGATTTATATTCTTCTGGGCTTATACAACATATTGACAGAAACATAAAGATAATATAAGATTCTGACTCTTTTTTGTGTGAAAGGGGAAGAAAAGAGGTGGGGATGGTGGATTAAAGGCAGCACCCCAGCTGAACTCTCCAAACATTCCCCTCCAAACAACTTTGAAATAATGCCTCAAATCAAGTTTTGGAGGGGCAGAGACAACAAAAGGTCAGGATGAGAAATTTTTCCAGCCTGAGACAACTTAGGAAGTCCAGAGGAGAGGTCTGTGGCACCGGGCCAGAGGTCTGTCCAGAGCACACTCCCACTGGCTGCAGCAGCCACCCCAGCAGCAGCTTTGGCAGTTCTGAGCCCCGAGGCAATAAGGGGTGGTGTCAGACAGCTGGTCAGAAAGAGATTACAGGGGACCCTTCACCGGCACTAGGTGCAGCTCGTGCTAATTGGCAAATATTGCTCATATGTAGATCTGGGTCACAGTTCTAGGGTGGAGGGGGCACTTGTGGTCAGTCACAAGGGAGCAGAGCTCCAGGTCACAGGTCCAAGGGCAAGAGGAATGGTAGTGCTTGTGGCAGCAGGGGAGCAGGAGGCCTTCCTGGGCAAAGCCCAGAGTACAGACCCAGAGAGCAATGACCACACCTCTCCAGGGATCATACCACCTAGGAAGCTCCTAAACTTGCAGACTCCCAGCATGGAAGAGCCTGAAGCTTGGGACAGTGCTTTCCCACCCCCAGGTGAACAGAACCCAACTTTAACATAAAGTTCAAAATCAAGAAATAGACTGGAAAAATGATCAAAGAACAAAAAAATAACTTGACTATAAAAAACTACTAAGGTGACAGGGAAGACCAAGACATAAACTCAGAAGAAGAAAACGATGTGAAAACAGCTATAAGCAAAGCCTCAAAGAAAAATGCGAATTGGGCCCAAGTCCAACAAGAATTCCTGGAAGAGTTAAAGAAAGACGAGAGTGGTAGAGGAAAAATTGGGGGGAGGGGATGAGAGCAATGTAAGAAAATTGTGAAAAGAAAATTACAGCCTGGCAAAAATTTGAAAAGCACAAAAATACTGAAGAAAATAACACTTTACAAAATAGTATTGGCTAATGGTAAAAGAAGTACAAAAATTCACTGAAGAAAAGAACTCCTTAAAAAGCAGATTAGGGAAAATTGGAACAGTAATGCATTGTTGGTGGAGTCGTGAAATGATCCAACCATTTTGGAGAGCAATTTGGAACCATGCCCAAAGGGCTATAAAAATACGTATACCGTTTGACCTAGTAATAGCACTTCTAGGATTTTATCCCAAAGACATCATACAAATGGGAAAAGGACTCACATGTACAAAAAGTATTTAGAGCAGCTCTTTTTGTGATGGCAAAGAATTGGAAATTGAGGGGATGCCCATCAATTGGGAAATGGCTGAACAAGTTGTGGTATATGAATGTAATGGAATACTATTGTGCTAGAAGAAATGATGAGCAGGCAGACTTCAGAAAAACCTGGAAAGACTTATATGGACTGATGCTGAGTGAAATGGGCAGAACCAGGAGAATGTTGTACACAGTAACAGCCACATTGTGTGATGACTAATGTTGATAGACTTAACTCTTCTCAGTAATGCAAGGATCTAAGACATCTCCAAAGGTCTCATGATGGAAAATGCTCTCCACATCCAAAGAAAGAACGATGGAGTTTGAATGAAGATTGAAGCATACTATTTGCTATCTTTTTTTCTTCTGTTTTGTTTTGTTTCCTCTTTCTGGTGGTTCCTCCTATTGGTTCTAATTCTTCCTTACAACATGACTAATGTTGAAAATATGTTTAATAGGAATATATGTGTATAGCCTATATTAGATTGTGCACCATCTTTGGGAGGGAGGGGGAGAAAAATTTAAGACTCAAAAGCTTATGGAAGTAATTGTTGATAAATCAAAATAAACAGATTAGGCCAAATGGAAAAAGAGATACAAAAGCTCACTGAGGAAAATCAATTCTTAAAAATTAGAATTAGGCAAGTGGAAGTAATTACTTTATGACATAACAAGAAACAATAATACAAAGTCCAAAGAATGAAAAAATAGAAGAAAATGTGAAATATCTCATCAGAAAAACAATTGACCTGTGAAATATTTCAAGGAGAGACAACTTAAGAATCATCAAACTACCTGAATGGCTTACCTATAAGCCATGATAAAAGAAGAGCCTAGACATCATATTTCAAGAAATTAGAAAGGAAAGCTGCCTCAATATCTTAGATCCAGAGGGTAAAATAGAAGTTGAAAGAATCCACTATTCACTTCTTGAAAGAGATCCCAAAATGGAAACTCCCAAGAATACTACAGCCAAATTCCAGAGCTCTGAGGTCAAGGAGACTATATTGCAAGTAACCAAAAAGGAACAATTCAAACATCATGGAGCTGCAGCCAGGATCGCGCAAGATTTAGCAGTGCACACAGTGTGAAAGGAGTGGAGGGCTTGGAAGATGACATTCTGGAAGACAAAGCAGTGAGGATTACATGCTTAATGAAAAGACCAGAGCTGAATAGAAAATGTGACATTCAAACACAACCCTAGAGAGAAACGTGAAAAGGTAACTGTGAAAGAGCAATCACAAAGGATTTGATAAAGTTAAATGGTTTGCATTCCTATATGGGAAAATGACATGTGTAATTCCCAAGAACTTTGTTATTTTTAACACAGTTAGTAGGAGTTAACACAGACGTAGTCCACAAGAGACAACAGGCATGAATAAGTCAATTATGTTGGAATTATCTCCCTTCCCCAAAACATTAAGGGGTGAGAAAGAGTAATGCACTGGGGAAAGGGGGAAGGGAGAGACAGAAAAAGTTTTCTCACAAAAAGAGACATTCAAGGAAGAGCTTGGTTACAGCAGAGGATAAAATTGGTGCAGGAGGCAGGACAATGCTTGAACCTCACTCTCATCAGAATTGGTTCAAAGAGGGAAGAATATACATTTACACATTCAATTGGGTATAGAAATGTATTTGACTCAATAGGGAAAATAAGAAGGGAAGGGGATAAGGGATTTGGGAGGAGGATGATAAAAGGGAGGATAGATTAAGGGAGTTGGTGGTTAGAAGCAACACAGACTTTTGAGGAGGGACAGAATAAAAAGAGAGAGAGAAGGAAAAACATGAGAAAATATGGTGGAGGGAAATACACATTAGAAATCATAACTGTGAGTGTAAATAGGATGAGCTCAGCCATAAAATAGAAGCAGATAGCAGAATGGATTAGGAACCAGAATCCAACAATATGTTCTTTGTAAGAGCCACAAATGAACAGAAAGACACACACAGAATTAAAATAAAGGGCTGGAGCAGAATCTGATATGTTTCAGCTGAAATAAAAAAGGCAGGGGTAGCAATAATGATATCAGACAAAGCAAAAAAAAAACCTAATTAAAAGGGATAATCAGGGAAACAACATTATGCTAAAAGGTATCATAGACAGTGAAGTAGTATAAAAAATGTTTATAGCCAGTTTCTCTGATAAAGTCTTCAATTCTCAAATACATAGAGAACTGAGTCAAATTTATAAAAATAATAGCCATTCCCCGATTGATAAATGATCAAATGATATGAACATGCAGCTTTCAGAAGAAGAAACCAAAATTATCTATAGTCATGTGAAAAAAATGCTCTTAATAATTACTCAAAGAAATGCAAATTAAAACACCTCTGAGGTACCAAATCACACGTATCAGAAATGACAAATGTTAGAAGGGTTGAGGGAAAATAGATACACTAATAAACTGTTGGTGGAGTTATGAAGTAGTCCAATCATTCTGTAGAACAATTTGGAACTATGCCCAAAGGGCTATAAAACTGTGCATACCTTTTGACTCAGCAACACCACTACTAGATCTGTACCCCAAAGAGATCAAAGGAAAAGGAAAAGGAGCTATACACACAAGAAATATTAATAGCAACTGTTTTTTTTTTTTTCTGTGGTGGCAAAGAATTGGAAATTGAGGGGATGCTTATTGACTGGGGAATGGCTGAACAAGTTGTGGCATATGATTGTGATGAAATACTACTGTGTTATAAGAAATGATGAGGGGGATGGTTTCAGAAAAAAAAAAAACAACATGGCAAGTTCTACATGAACTGATGCAAAGTGAAGTAAGAAGAACCAGGACATCATTGTGTACAGTAACAGCAATATTGTTTGATGACCAACAGTGAAAGGTTTGTCTACTCTGATCAGTACAAGATGATTCCAAAGGACTCATGATAAAAAAAAAATGCTATCTACTTGCAGAGAGAGAACTGATGAACTCTGTGCAAATGGAAGTAGAACTTTCTTGCTTTTTTAGGCAATGTGGCAAATATGGAAATCTATTTGACATGATTTCACGTATACAATGGGTATCATTCGGCTTGCTTTCTCCGTGGGGGTGGGAAGTTGTGGGAGGGAGGGAGAGAATTTGGTTAAAATAAATAATCAATTTTTAAAAAGAAAGGGGAAGAAAATGAACTTTTCAGCGAAGGGAAAGGATTAAATCAACCTGTGAAGGATATAAAGTACTGCCCCTATTTACGTAAATGGTTTGATTATGAAAAGAAACTTTTGCCTTTTCCCCAAGATGGCACCAAAAGCGAAGAAGGAAGCGGTTAACCCTCCCAAGACAGGGGCCAAGTCCAAGCCATTGAAGGGTGTCTGTAGCCACAAAAAGAAGATCGGAACATCCCCCACCTTCCAAGATACCAAGACTTTGACGGCAGCCCAAAACCTGAGTCAGTTTCCCTTGACCGCTGAGTCTGCTATGAAGAAGATCGAGGACAACAACATGCTTGTCTTCATTGTAGACGTCGAGGCCGACAAGCCTTAGATCAAGCAGGCGATGAAGAAGCTGTACGGCGTTTATGACATCGAGGTGGCCAGGCCGACACTCGGATCCCGCCTGATGGAGAGAAGCCTGTGTCCGACTTGTTCGAGACTATGATGCTTTAGATGTTGCCAACAAAATTAGAATCATCTAAACTGTGTGTAGCTATCCCACTCCACCTACAATAAAGTTTTCCAGTAAAAAGAAAAAAAAAAGAAGCATTTGTGTGTGAAAAACTGTTAGAATTCATGCGTAAAGAAGTTTTCTGTTAAATGTGAGACCCAGGCTAGTAGGAGGACCGTGCAGAGAACTGAGAGCACCTTCCTGAGGACAGAGAAGTGCCTGAAGGCTGAAAGCTATGGAACCATAGCTCATTTGCATATAACTTTTTAGAGCTTAAGAAGTTAAACCTCTTCTTCCTTTTTCTTCAAAAAAGAATCATTGTTCTAAGAGAGGCTTTCTGTGAAGGAGAGTAGAGGAACATAGGGGGAAACTTTGGTAATGTAGAAACTAAAGATATCAATAATTTACAAAATGTTATTTGTCAGATTGTAAGCTCTGTGAGGGCAGGGCCTCTTTGCCTTTCTCTGGATCTGCAGTTCACAGGCACACAATAGACCGTCAATAAATGTTTATTGACTTGATTAAAAACTCTTTCAAAAGGTGAATGGTATATTATTGTGGTTGACTGATTCTATATAAATGGAAAGAACACTAGAGGGGGCTAAGGAATTAGTGGTTAGTGTGAGGTGTGTACTTTCCCCCAAGTTGGGGGTGCTTCACCCCAAGCACCCTGACAGAGTTTGAGCTAACACAGGGTGGTCCTTCTCTGGGGAGGGCACATAGGAGAGTGAGTCAGCCCAGAGAGGCTAGCCTAGGCCCCTGGGAGTGGTTACAATGTGGTAGACACATCACGCCACCATAAGATACAGGCATCTGTGATAGATACAATGTGACTTCCCAAGAGCTGGGTGGTGGGGGCATGCGTGAAAATATCTCTTGAAAGAGACAGTGCTTGAATTGAGCCTTGAAAAGAGGTAGAGGGTTGTGGTATATGACTGTGATAGGATAAAACTGTGCAGTAAAAAATGACAAGGGACTTGTAGGCATTAATGCAAAGTGAGGTGAGCAGAATCAGAACAATCCACATAGTAACAGTGTTATTGTAATGACGATCAACTTCGAAAGACTTGGTAACTCCAACCAACCCAGTGATCCACCACAATTCCATAGGACTCATTATGAAAAATACTCTCACCCTCCAGAGAGAGAACGGATGGCTTCTGAGTGCAGATTGAAGCCATTTTTTTACTTCATTTTTTTTGCTCCCCCTCCCCACTACCCATGACTAATGTGGAAGTGTTTTGGATGACTGTACATGTATAATAGGTTTCATTTCCTGCTTTCTCAATGGGTAGGGGAGGGGATAGAGGGAGAGAATGTGGAACTGAAAACAAAATTTTTTAAAGAATTTTAAAAAAGTAAAAGAGGTAGGGGCTCCAAAAGGCAGATGTGAGGAGAGACAGCACACTTGGTACAGAGGCAGGATGTATCTGGAACAAGTCGGGCCAGAGTGGCAGGAGTGTAGAAGGTGTGATTGGGAGTTAGGTTTGGAAAGATGGGCTGGAATACCAGATGGGACAGGGCTCTAAACACCATATAGACGCATTCAAATTTGTATTTAAGAGGGAGATACAGGCTTCTACAGTCAGTCTTGCCCTTTACTGAGGGTCTAAAGTAGCTTGAATCTTTGGGCCAATACCACTCAACCAGTCTATCAATCAAGAAGAACCTTTTAAGCACGTGGAGAGAAAAAGTGTGGCTGAAGAAACTTGTACCTGTCACGCTGATGTTTCTTTGTTCCTTTGGCTGATTCGAGGTGTGGAATCCAGTTGGGGGAGTCTGCAGGATTGCTGCTGAACCTCAATCAACCTTTGCCCAAGCACATAGTCCTAGGAAGAGGCCAGGAACTGGGCTGAGCAGGTGGAGGGACAATGCCCAGATCTCCTGCTCTGACTTTTCCTCACCCTCTCATTATCTACATAGCGGAATGGAAGAGCCTTAGGATTCAATGACTGGAGGAATGCCCACTCCCAGAGCTATGTGGCTGTTACCAGAATAACTAGTACATGTCTTATGATTTAGCCGTCAGCGATGGATTGGGATGTATGGGGAACAAGCACCATGACATGTCCAGTGGAGGACATTGTCCTTAGGACTTCCTTGCTTCTCCTTACCCAAGAACCAAGAAGGCTTTTTGCCCAGCCCAGGACAATGGGATTTCTATCTTTCCTCTCACAGCTGGGTAAAGCCCCAGGGCTGCCAGCCACCAATGGGGCCTTTCACACACAGATCCATGGCCCACCTGCTGCTATGGAAGGTCGTGGTCGGGAGCACAAGTGCTGGGGTGCCTTCTGAGAGGTCCAGCGGGGCTCCCAGGAGCCTTGTGCCTCAGCTGCCCTCCTGCCTCAGACCCCTGGGAGGCAGCAGCCCACCAGCTGAGCTTCTGCTCTCGGGTCTGCTCCTATAGTTTGGCATTAGTATTGACCTTGGACTTTTTAATTCTTGAGTTAGGGAGTGCAATTTTAGGGTCATATCCTCTTTGTCTCTTCCCCTTCCCCCCTCTGTGAGCTGGGTCCTCCTGATGTGGACCCTTCCTCCCCCAGAGGCATCCCGTGGGTGTGAGGCCTTCCCAGGGGACTTTACCATCAGACTCAGGGATTCCTGTCAACCTGACGTTCGATGAGTCCTTCCTCTGCTAGTCATGCTTCCTTTTGAAGCTACATCTTCTAAAGCTTTGGGGTTGTGTAATTTTCTATGGGTAATATACTTATACTCAGCATGTCTTTCCACTGACCTCATGACGCCTCATTGGTAGCACTGCCCTGCCCCCCAGAGTCCCACTTGGCTACCTTGCCTGGAGATGGGGCCAGTGGAGCTGCTTTGAGATGAGTTGGATGCTTCCCAAGACAACAGGGGCCCCAACCAATGACACATGGGCCCTCCACAGTTCTGGTTACCTGTGACTGCTTGGATGGCGGCTCCATATGGCTTCTATCCTTTGGGACGTGGAGGGGCGTTTTGGCAGATCCTGGGGCAATAAAGTTCTCTGGAGTTCGTCAGTAGTTTATACGAGTCTTTAGGGACCACAGCCTGAGTCAGCTGACCTGCCTGTGACAATTTGGGCTTGTCTGATGAGCCTGGCCTTCGAGGGGCTCTTAGGGTACTTTCTGACCTCTTGCCCCATGTCTTAGCACATAAGATCTGGGGAAAGGGATATAGTAGACAACACTTTCTTTGTTCTTGACACGGTTCTGGGAGCCTGCGCCCTGGGGAGATGCCTGCAAAAGGCCCCCTGCTTGGGAGCATGCTGGATTGTCTACGTGTGCACTGGAGGAAAAGGATGGGGTGGGACGGGGGGAGAAGGGCAGCGGGCCAGTATTGTAGGACAAAAGTCATTGTGGCTGTGCTGGAAACAAGCCCACAACTGGCTCTTATGGGGAGGGGGAGATTCCAGACACCCTTCTGTCCCCAGTGACTGATCCCACCCCCCTGGGTCAGGCCATGAGGCTTGACATGGATCTCTAAAGTCCTTATGAGGCTCTGATTCTGCTGGGCTGAGTGGCAGCCCATTGGGCCCCGGAGTGGCCACCCAGGCTCAAAGCCCAACGGGTCTAAGTCTGATTAGAGTGAGGGCCCCACGTTCAGATGAGCCACTCCAGAGAGGAAGGAATGAAGCCTTCTTATCCAGGCTGGGGCAAGTGGGAAAGGCTCCCAGAGGCTTCTGGGAACTACTCAAGGAAACCCATGTCAACAGGACCCCCATGATTTCAGGTGCTTAGGGCTGGGGGCAGATGATTTCAGAGGTTCATAAGTGCATCCACCCCCTCACTGTACAGAGGAAGTTAGTGGTCAGAGGTGACTCGCTCAAGGTCACTCAGCTCTCCAATGTCTGAGGCCAGACTTGAGTGCAGGTCTTCTGGTTCTGAGGCAAGATCTCTACTCGCTAAAGCACTCTGCCTCACAAGTAGAATCAAATGAAGTAAAAACAGCATTCTAAAAAACTCCAAAGAACCATAGTGTCTCCAACTTTTCCTCTGACCCAAACCACCCTGGTGGCACAGGAGCAGCCTAGAAGCTTCTGGATACCAGGTCACGGGGCAGCCTGGCTCCTTTCTTTAGGCACCTGGTTGCCAAGGTGCTGACAGCCTCCACAGCCCTGACCCAGGAATATTAAACATCCCTTCCCAAAGACCGCCAGGCAGACACACAGAGCAGATGTTGGACTGGGCTGGCGTGTCTCCTGGAGACAATGGCACCTGGCAAGGGGTGCCTGCCCAAGCCTGGCACTGCTGGGTTGCCTGGACAGCCCTGCTCACAAGCCTGTGTTTTCTCTAGAGGCAGAGAATGAGCCTCAGCACTGGCAGCTACCTCAGCAGCCATTAAGCCAGGCCCAAACTGGGGCAGGAAGCCCCTGGAGTGAAGCATTGACTTCCTCGGGGGTGGAAGCCAGCCCTCTTTTGCTCTGATTATTACCAAGTGTTTCCCGACCCAGCAGAAACCTGCCCTGGAATCTCCAAGGGGCCCGCATGAGAACAAACTATGGCTTCCAGAGGTGCCTAGAGCACAGAGATTAAATGACATGCCCAGGGCCTAGTGAGTTCGTGTTAGAGGCAGGAATTGAAGGCAGGTCTTTATGCCTACGTGTAAGTGTATGGGCTGGGAAGAGGGAGGGAGGGAGAGACAGACAGACAGACAGAGAAGAGGAGACAGAGCCAGAGAGACATACCCAGAGAAAGAGAGAGAGAAGGGGGAAGAGAGAAAAGGGGAGAGAAGGGGAGAGACAGACAGACAGAGAAGGGGAGACAGAGCCAGAGAGACATACACAGAGAGAGAGAAGGGGGGAGAGAGAAAAGGGGAGAGAAGTGGAGAGACAGACAGACAGAGAAGGGGAGATAAAGCCAGGGAGACATACACAGAGACAGAGAGAGACAGAGAGGGAGAGAGGAGCAAAGAGATGATTTCGAGGAAGCAGCTGTGTCCTAGTCAAGATCTGTGTGGATTGGGGTTTTAGAAAGAACATGGCATGTGTACGCAGTGGGGAAGGAGTTAAGGGGAGAAGTGTTTTCCCCACCCTCACCCCCACCCTCAAGTCTCTAATTTGCCCACACTCTGGTCCATGCTTACTGATCCGTGAACATTTTCATTCTCCAATAGAAGGCAATCTCCTTGAGGGCACAGATTTTTCTTTGTAAACCTAGCATCTGGCACACAGTAGGTGCTTAATGAATGGGTATTAGCTGATTCAATAGCTGATGCAGCAGGATGACAATGTGGGAGGCTGGATGAAAAGCCCGGGGGAGGGGCATTTCCCCCTCTGATGGTGGGGAAGGTCTCGGAGGGTTTAAGGCCGGGTAGATGAGGGGCCTGGGGATGGAGACCCCCATCTTCTCTGGGAGGGAGCAGCTGGCCATCACAGGTGGGGCATAGAATGGGGACCTGACAAAAGGCTAGGGTTAGAGAAGCTGCTGTGCGGAATGTGGTAGGGAGTTAATCAGTCACTTCCACAGCTCTTGCCACAGGTAAGGCCCAGCCCGAATTGGGAGTGGCTCCAGTCACCCCAGAACATTGGGCTGCTTCTGGAGGTAGCAAGCTTTCCAGGCTTGGGGGTATCCAAGTAGAAGCTCGGGATCCTATGAGGACTTACTCTGATTCTGTGGTTCTATCTGCTGCTTCAGGACTGGATTGTAAATAAAACTGGGTGAGTCAAAATGCACAGAATCAGGTGACTGGCTGTTGCCAACCGCTCTGCTGAGTCTGGAACCAGAAGGATGAGGAAGGCCCCGTCTCGTGCCTTGAGCCCTTCCTGAGTCTGCCTGCCCATTTCTCAGAACAGGACACGGGTCCAGAGAGGGAGGACTTAGCACGGCAGGATGGCAGGGTGGGGAAGGTGACCATCCAGTCCAAGGTTGTGGGATCCAATCCTTTCATTGTGGAAATGAGGAAACACAGGTGACCCACCCGTGAGCACAGACTGAGAGAGTCAGAGCTGGGAAGACCACCTCATCCAAGCCCATATCCATTTTTTAGATGAGGAAACCGAGGCACAGAGAGGTCTCACACACACACACACACACACACACACACACACACAGGCTGCTGAGCCAGGATTCAGACCCATGGTTTCTTAAAGCATGTCTGATGTCTTCTGTCCCACAGCTGCCCCTTATGTGGAACAGAAGTAGGCAGAGTGACCTGGAGCTCCCGGAAGGTTTAGGGGCCCAGGTGCTCCTTAGAGCAGAGCTTGCTGGGACCCCGCCCTCTCCCCCTGCCTGACATTCAGTGTGGTGCAGTGCATTTGAAGTGGAAGGATTTGGGTTTGAACCCCAGCTTTGCTCCTTATCACCTGGGTGACCTGCGTAAGTCCTGGAAGCTCCCTGGGCCTCAGTCTCCTTATCTGTACAATGAGGGTTTTGATGACTCCAGAGGACCCACAAAAAAGCCCAAAGTCAATACCCCCCACCCTCACCCTGTCAGAGGACTATGGGTGATGAGCTAAGGATGCAGAGGCAGCCCCGCATTCTGGACCCAGCCAATCCTGTGCCTGGCTCAGCCTGACAGTGCAGTCGTCCCTACAGTCTGGCCTCTTTTCTCTTTTTTCTTTTTCTCTCTCTTTTTTTTTAATGGGGGAGGGGCAGTGGGGAAAATAAAGGCTCATTAATTTTAAAAGGTAGAATGAAATCAAAGTTCCATTTAAAAAACCAAACAAACAAAACACTCAAGCTGGGCTAGGTCACACAGAGGTCCCTTCTGCTCTGGAGGTCTGGGAGGAGCCTAGGTTGGGGGCTACAGCTTTGTTTTCCCCACCCTCACCCCCACCCTCAAGTCTCTAATTTGCCCATGACAGACAGAAGGATGGTGTGCAGCCAGTCCAAAACCGGCCACTGGCTTGGTTTGCTGTGGCACGATGAGATGGGGTCTGCAGCCCCAAGAGTGGACCATGGTGCTCCCACCTCCTGACTCTGTGAGTGTGTGTGTGGAGAGGGGGGAGGGGCACACTCTGGGGGCCCCGTGCATGTGTCTGTGAGTATGAGTGAGTGAGTGTGCACGCGCGTATGTGTGTATGCCTGGGCATCCGTGTGTGTGTGTCCCTACTCCAGGCACTACCCTGGCTCCATGAGTGTGCCCAGGCATACGTGTCTCTCGGTTTGTCTGTCTGGGTGTCCCCGACTCCACGTGCCTGCCCGGTCAGGGCGCTCACAGTGGCTGCAGCAGCTTCAGGGTCTGCAGCAGGGCCGTGGACTCCGCAGAGGCCAGGTACTGGCAGCAGAGCCAGTCCTCCAGCTCCACGGCGGCCTGGTCATCCAGCGCCTTCTCAGCCAGCTTCATCATGAGCAGGGCACGTTTCATGTGCAGCCAGTTCTGCAGCGGGCCCTGCAGCAGCTCACGCCGTGGTCCCCACAGCAGGCACTGCAGGGCCCGCTTGGCCTCCGTGACGTGCAGCCGCTTCATGGGGTCAGCCTCCAGCAGCCGGTGGGCCAGCCGCTGCAGTCCGGCAGAGTAGAGGGACAGGGTGGGCACGGGGGGCAGGTCATCGGCCCTGTAGTCCTGCTGCTGGAGCTGCGCCCGCTCCTCGAAAGGGTTGGGCCGGTGCAGCAGCTCGTAGATGAGGATACCCGTCTGGAACTCATCGACCTTCTTGTACTGGGCGGCCACCAGGATCTCGGGCGCCAGGCGCGCCTGGGTCCTCCTCTGCTGCTCATCGGCCCCGCTGCCCCCACCGACCCGCGCCTGCTGCTTGGCTTGGAGGAAGTTGCTGATGATGAGACGGGGCAGTGGCTGGTCCCCCAGGGAAGCACCTGGGCAGGGCGCCAGCAGCAGGTTCTCCAGGCACAGAGCCCGGTGCGTGATGCCATGCTCCTTGAGGCTCTCCAGGCCCTGGCACAGCTGCAGCAGCAGCAGGCAAACCCGCCGCTCGTAGGCCTCGGGCTCGGCCCAGTGGCGGGAGGCCGCGTCCCGCACAAAGTCCGCGGCCGTCTGGTGGGGCACCTCCCTCGTGATCACCACCACGCAATCCTGATCCTGGGGCTCCTCGGGAGACATGAGCATGCTGGAGGGCACCGAGGCGATGAAGTGGCCACAGTCCTGCTGAAGGTTGAAGTGAATGGGCACCGACAGGTCGCAGTAAGACGTCCCCTTGGACACAGGCATTTTACAGATCTATAGGAAGAAGAGAGAGGAGTCAGGGCAGAGGGTTATAGCAGAAAGGGTGGGAGCCCAGGGCGAGCCTGGCTGCCAGGTCTCACGTCACCTGGGGTAAGCCGCTGTAGCTCTCTGGCACCCAGATTCCTCCTCTGAAAGATCACAGGGTTGGCCTGGCCGAGCTCTGAGGGCCTTCCCAGCTCTCCCACAACACAAGGTCAGCCAGGCCTTCTCCCAGGACAAAAGTCTTCCTCCACCAGCCTCGGTTTGCCCATCTGTAAAGGAGGTGGCCAGTCTGATGGTCTCTTGGGGTCCTAAGATCCTCCCTCCACAAAGCAGGTTGTGCAGAGGTCCTGGGGTCAAAATGACTGAGATTCGTGGCCAAGAGGACCTCTAGCCACTGCCTTGGCTCCCCTCCAGCCATCCCCCATGCTCGCTCTCGACAGTAGGGCCCAGAGGCTGGCCCCTGAGCACCTGGGGCGAGGGGTCCATCAACTAGGGTCAAGCACTTGCTGCCCATTTGGAGACCCTGTGGTCCCTGCAGCCTCAGAGCAGACAGCGGCAGGGCCACACTTCCCCAAAGTGAGTCTCAGGCTACTCCTGTAAAGCTCTATGCACCCTGTGAGACTTTCTGACCAGAACCATTCGGTGGCTCCTGATCTCCTCCAGGGTAAAGTACAGACTTCTTGTTCTGGCATTCAAGGCCCCTGACTACAATCTGGCTCTAGTCTTTCCAGACTAATTTCATGCTACTTCTTGTACTCTGGGGTCCACTCCAGCTAGGTCTCAATGAGTGAAAATGATGGACCCCTTGACATGGCTACATGTATTCAATTTCCTATTATTTGGGGTGGGGGTGGCAGAATCCACACTTGTTGGGACCTGGATGTGCCAGACAGTCCTTGATTTTTCCTGATCTTTCCTGCCTCTGTTCACTTGCATAGCATCTGTTAAAATCCTTCTCTAAGAAGGCAAAAGAAAGCCAGGCATAAGCCACTATGTGTGACAACAGGCCAAGGGGTGGTGGGGCCCCCGACGGCAGGGTGCAAGATGGAGGGTGGTCTGGTGTGTGCACTCACTGACCGCCCCCAACAGTCCAGCACCCTCCACAGAGGCTGCCGGCTCACTTCTTTATTGGTTCCCATCTGGTGCTCTAAGGCTACTGAGAAGTATGTTCTCATAGTTCCTCACGTGTTCATAGAAATACACAGCTCTCAAAATTAATCGATTTGAGAACTGGAGAATGTGGAGAGACCTCTTTTCCCGTGAGCTTATCTTGTCGATTCACAAGCAGATCGGCTGTATCATTTGCCCTGCTGTTGTTCAGCTGTGTCTGACTCCCTGTGACCCCGTGGACCAAAGCTTGGCGCTCTCTCTCAGACTTGGAGGCCCTGCCACTAACGCACAGTATATTTCTTCCTTCTACACAGGAAGTTGTAGCTGGAGGCCTTCTCCCATGAAGCCTAGATTAGGAATGAGGAGAGAAGGGAGGCTTCTGGAAGAGAGAGTGGCCTGTGATGGAAGCTGTGGGAGTCGGAGAAATTCTAGCCTTGCCACTCACTGTGTGTCCCTGGTCAAGCTGCACCAACTCTCTGAGCTCAAGTTCTTCTGTAAAATGCGAATAATAACAGTAATAACAGCTGTATTACACAGCTCTATGGAGAATTAGGGAGCTCGGCTAAAACCTCCCAGAGGGGTTGCTTGCTACCAGGCTTAAATGAGATCATGAATGTTAAGTGCTTTGCAAACATTCAAGCATTATGCAAATGTTAATACAGAGACTGTCTTCTCCAGCTTACTGATCCTGGCCAGAGCCAAGATTTCCCTAAATGCACTTGGGTCCCCTTGGGAAGCACCCAGGGTTTTAGCTGTGCCCATGTTTATACCTCCTTAACTCACCAAGAACAGAACCCTGGAAATGGATCAGCAACGACCACCTTGGGCTATTCCCTGCCAGCTCCCAGGCAGGGTTGTCCTTTTCTCTCTCTTGGGGACTGCTGGGCTGATGATAGCAGCTGAGGCTCTTCCCAGTTTGGAAGCTGGCACTGACTCTTGGACAGAAGCTGGCCTTGAGGGGCTGCTCTGTTCTCAGAGCAGGATGCCTAGGTTTTCTGTCACCTAAGCCAACAGTAAGTATGTCAGTGACTCCCAGTTCAGGCTTTCTGACACACTAACCAGGCTGTCTCTCATTTCTGCAAAGCTATCATGAGTGTCTCAAAAAGAAAATCACAGGGGACTAAGTAGAGAGAAACTTCTGGGGAGACTGAGAAGTTGGAAGAGCCTCACTTCTCAGCATCCCCCTCAAAAACGCAACAGAAACATCCACGAGAAGCCAAACTACTAGAAAGGACGAGAGCTGGAAGACTAGAGATTGCAACTTTCTAGATTCTAGAGTTTGCCTCCTCTCACCTTCTCATTTTAAAGATGGGGAATCCAAGGCCCAGGGCGGCTAACAGCTGTCTGCCCAGAGTCACAGATAGCCCCTTGGAAGCTAAAGTCTGCATTCTTTCTATTACAACACATTGCTTTGAAAATGCTTTTTAAGAAACAGGCAAAAGAGTTCTGACACAATGGGAAAAATATGGCTGTGAAGGAGCCGAGGAGAAAATAGCAAAAGAAAACCAAACAAAATCAACAGAAACACCAGAAGTGAGAGACCAGGATGTTCTGCCAACAAAAAAATAGGGAGTCTGTGTGACCCTGGGCAAGTCACTTAACCCCGATTGCCTTGCCAAAAACAAACAAACAAAAAAATAGGGAGCCAACCCACGGAAGGAGTGAAAGGGAGAAATGGAACCTGCCCGAATGTCCCAAGTGCGTCCCAAAGAAGGAATGGAGCACGACGAAGAGTCAAACGCCAGTGAGAAAAAGCGTTGGAATAGTGAGAAGGATGGACTCGATGACGACCAGGACTCTTTCCCAGACAGAACGGCTGAAACAAGAGCTGGAAGATGGTGCCCTGGGCGGGAAAACACTTGGCGTGGATGCAGACAAAAAATGACCCGTCCGGAAGGGAGAACCAGCAGGGATATGGACGGATGAATTTGAGGCCTTGCCCCAAGCCACACACAAGCGGGTCATGATTCTAGTTCAGGAAATCGCATAAGAAACATTCCCAGAGAAAGTGAGAAAGCTCTGAAGTCAGAGAAGTGGGATGAGGGGGCTAGAGAGGGCGCTGACCCTCCCTTCCCCGGACAGAAGAAAAACAAATCAAGGCATTTAAAGGGGAAAAGCACCAAAGAGAATGCAGGGGATCCAGGAAGGAGGCAGGCAGGTGGGAGCAGGCTGAAATTGCACCACTGAAGGGGAAACCCAAGGTCTGCTCTGAGCATTCCCTGCAAATCCTCTTTCTGTTCCACTCCAGATGTGGAAAATCCATTTGTATCGGGTGTTTGTCAGGCTCAGAATACAGTGGTTTTTTTAACCCGAGAGGTCAGGGCCTCCTCATAATGCTTACCTTTCTCCCTTCCTCCCTCCCGCACATACCTCCCTTAGAAATCACATGGCAGTAAAAACTGTCACCCACATAGAGGGACCAAAGCCTTGGACTTCAATGGTGCCTAACGCATGGGTAGTGAGCCAAAGAACACACCAAGATAAACAATACAAAATCATCTATTTAAAAAAAAAAGAGAGAGAGATGCTATAAGTGCCTGAGGGCAGGGGCTGTTGTTCATAGACTAGCACTAAGCACAAGGCTTAGCACACAGCAGACACTTAATAAATGCTTCTTGATGGGTGAGAAATGCAGGAAGAGACACACATCTCTGGACATGGCCACTGAGGGGTCGACGTGCGTGTCTGCTGGGAGGCCGCCCTCCCTCCCTTCTCTTTTTTTGCTCAATAGAGGTAGACAGTAGCAGGGAGAGAGAATCAATGCTGGCCAAACCAGACAGATGTAAATGAAAGCTAAAACTGAGAGCAGAGGGGGCGAGGCAAAGCCTTGCCTCTGGCTGGTGATTTCGTCTACAATGTAGGCCCTGCTCTGCTGGGACTTATAGTCCTAGAAAGTGGCCTGGGCCCTGAGATGAGGGACCGTGCTCAAGGTCACCCTTGGGGTGCAGGGGACAGAGGCAGGACTTCTGTCAAGCTGCCTTTCTACTCACTGTGTCTGGCTACCTCAAAGGTAACCAACTCCTAAAACAAATAAACAAACCTAAAAAAAGAGAGGGTTTCACATAAAATCATCTGGTAAGGATTTGTTCATTTCAGAATGTGTGCCTGCTGCCGACTCGAGCATAAATCCTGAATAAGGACGTGTCACTGTGCATCCCTAGGTGAAAAGGCAGAACTTCCGTCAGGCTGGGGTGAGAGGGCAGCATGCCTGGTTCCATTTCTCCCTTCTGCTTACTCACTGTGTAAGCCCCTGACTCAGTTTCTCTGTCTGTAAAATCAAGAGTTTAGATGGGATATTCCCTGAGGTCTAGTCATGCTGTGACATTCTGGAGTTCTGGGAACATCAGAAAATCAAATCAATTCCAGCAGCTCAGTGTCATAGAACCTCCCCAGAGATGCCACACCTGCTCCCAGAGCAGGGGCAGGGAGGAGATGTCTGGAGGTAATCTGTCTTCTAAACAAGCTCACTCCCAGCATTCAGGGATAACCTCGTTCTCATGCTCCAGACACAAAGGCTCTCTCTCCTGCCAGTTCCATCCTGGCCAGATTCCGTGACTCTGGGCAAAGCACCTGCCACCCCCTTCCAGAGGCATCTTGGTGGAGTGGGGGACGTTAGGGAACCCGGAGCTTCAACACCTGCTGAGAAGCCCTTGGAAAATCCCTGCACCTCTCCTAGACTTAGTTTCCCCATCTCAAAAATAAGGATGACAATGCTTGAAATGGGTCCTGGGACCACAGATTAGAGCTGAAAGGGACTTCAAAAGCCATTCTAATCCCTTCATTTAACAGCAGAGGAAACTGAGGCTCAGGGAGGAGAAGGAAATACCCAGGTTCCTAGACCCTGAGCTGGGGAACCTTGAGCTGTCAGGTTCTCTGAAAGAAGGGGGGCAGATGATCTCAGAGGCCCCTTCAGCTCTAACACACTCCCTTAATTCATGCTGAGGGCATTCCTTTTGCCTTTCTTGATCTCAGCTACAGCAGAAGCTTCTGGTGGGCAGGAACATGCTTAGTGTAGTTTTCTTCTTCCCCACTTCCCCCCAGGGCCTCCCCCCATCTGCTCCAGGAGGAGCCTGGACTTGACTGCTCCCTCCCTCCCTCCTAGGCCAGCAGGGACCAGCTCCTGGCAATGGTACCAGTCTCTTGCGCCCTGTCATGGCCTCTCCTCCCTCCACATGGTCCTTCATGCCCCCGCCCAAGAGTTTCCTTTCACATCTTTTCATTGGCTTCTTATTCCTCAGTCCCTGTGCCCCACCCTCTCTGCACCTCCCACCAGCACCACCTCCAGCCTTCCTGGCCCAGAGGACTCTCAATCTGGAGCTCAGAACCACAGAGTCCAACAGGACCCTCGCATGGTCCTGAGGGAGCCACAGGGGACGGTACCTTCACTGCATATGGCCGGGAGGGGTCCTCAGAACAGGTGGCGCAGTAGTAGACGGCATCCCCAGAGTCACAGCAAGGTTTGTTGCACGTCAACTTGAAGAGAGACCAGCTGTTCTCGCTGAAGCGTGGCTCCGATCCCTGGCTGCCCATGAAGTGGCGCTCGCATCTGGCGGCCAGGCGCACCAGGGACTGGGCATAGAGGCCGCTGAGCTTGGCGTACGTGGCCTCCTTGCTGGTGATGCTGGTGAGGAGGCTGGGGAGCTGCTGCTGGCTGCTGGAGGCGGAGGTCTGGCTGGACACGCTCAGCTGAGAGGAGGAGGGGGAGAAGCCCTGGGCCCCTTGCAGCTGGGCCTCGGGGCCCCTTGTGCGGCCCGCCAGCCCATGCCCAGGGAAGCGAGAGTCTTCAGGGTGGCAGATGCTCGTTTCGGAGTGGCTGGGATTCAGCCGGGGACTTGAGGTCCGGCGTCCAGGGGAGCCATGGGCCAGAAAGAGGCCGTCAGGAGAAGATGCAGCTCGGCTGACCATCTTCTTCTGGGGCAGCGGAGGAGGTTGCAGGGGCCCCAGGGGACCGCACGGAGAGCCATCCTCTGAACGACACCCAGGGGAGGGGCAGGGGGCCGGCTCGAAGGAAAGCCCTGAAACAGAAGAGCAAAGCACAGTCCCCCTGACTGCCGGCCGGCTTTCCAGGGCTGACCCCACTGAGTCCCAGCACACCAGGCAGTCAGGGGCGAGGGGATGGCAGGCTTCCAGCTGAGCTAAAATCAACCAGCCATGGGTTCCATGGGCTCCAGGAATGGGAGGAGGACCCTGCCTCCCTCTCCATCTCTCTAACAAAGGAGGGGGGCAGGGAGGGACCACAGAGGTCACGAAGGCTAACCGTCTCATTTTCTACGGGGGACTGAGGCCGAGGGAAGGGAAGTGGCTTAAACAAGGTTCCAAAGAGGATCTCAGACCTACAGCAGAAAGTGATCTCGGGCACCATCTAGTCCAACCCCCTTCTTCACTGATGAGGACGCAGGAAGTATGTGACTAGCCTAAGGTCAAACAGCTAGTAGGAATGGGAGGCAGGATCTGAACCCAGGTCCTCTGACATCAGAGCCCGGGGTCGGGGGGAGATGCCCCTCAAAATCCTGCCTAGGGAGGTGACCCAGCTAGGGGGCTAGAGGAGAGGATGTTCTGGGGAGAGAACAGAGATCCTGGACTGCTAACTTCCCGGCTGTAAGAACTGTCCTGTTGAGCTGAGGTTCAGAAAACCTTCCTCCCCTTACCACCTGCCAGCTTCTGTAAGCTCTCTGAGGGCAGCACACGTCTCTCTTCTTGGCACTTGGATTTGGATGCCCTCCCTTGGCACAGAACCTGGCACAGATGAGTTGCCTACTAAACGTTTGTGGTCTGGCTGAGTGGCACGCAGATGGGGAGGGGTTTGGGTCTGATTTCAGAGACGGAACCACTGAATTTCCTTGGGCAGAGATGACCTGATCGTACCTCTGGGAGAGAATGGATTAGAAAGGGGGGAGACACACGGAGGCAACTGTGAGAATTCCCATGCCAGGGTAAGGTGGTGGCCGTGGGTGTGGAGTGAGGCCCCAGGAACAGATGAGAAATGTTGGCAAAATAGAAGCCCAAGGCTTGACAACCGGACAGATGGGTGAGGAAGAGGGAGAAGTCAGGGATGATGAGTCTGAGCTCATGGTCTTGGTTGGCTGCAAAGGATGGTGAAAGAGATAGGGAAGTGAGGAAGAAGGGATTGGGTGTTTTAAATAATTAACTCTTTCGGGGACAGGGTGAGTTGGAGATGTCTGGGGGACATCCACTGAAATCTCGAAGAGGCAGGTGATGCTGCAGGCCTGGAGAGAGGCAGGAAGGAGCTGGAAGTCAGCTGCCTGAGAGGAGAGCAGAGCAGAGGGGGGACTAAGGATATGGTTGGAGAACTGGTTAGTCACTGTTCAGGAAAATGATCCCACTGTTTCAGTCCAGCCCTGTGTGATTAAAGGTTGTCCACACCCAGAATGTCGCTGACCCCAGTAACTCCCTAGGGATGCTGGGGACGGCTGGTATTTTGGGTTCCCCTGGGTCCTGGATGCACCAGATCATTCTACTTTGGGGTTACCACACCCAGGATTTCTGATGGTCTGCCCATGCTTGGGCTTTGGTCAAGTTGCCATCTTGGTGACTTTGCTTACTTGGGTAAATCCCATGGAATGTAAACCTTCTAGAGCCACAACCCCTTTCCTTTCCTTTCTGGTGCATTTGCTAATGACTTCATAAATTCTTTTCTAAAACTCTTTTGAAAAACATTTTAAAAGGGGAAACTAGGTGGCGCAGTGGATATAGCACCAGCCCTGGAGTCAGGAGGACCTGAGTTCAAATCACGCCTCACACATTTCACACTAGCTGTGTGACCCTGGGCATGTCACTTAACCCCAATTGCCTCACCAAAAAAAAAAATAATAATAAAAATAAAACTCAGATTTTGGAGTCTATTCTCAAGAACAACAACATCAAATAAAGTTAGGGAGGGGAGCAGGCCTTTCAGAGTAAGAGTCAGGAAGGAAAAAGGAGAAAAGCAGTTAGCAAGAGGAGGCAAAGTAAGTCAGAAAAGAGACGTGAGGCTGCTGGAAGGAAAAGCCAGTGGACGACTGATGGATGGGCAAACTGGGACAATGGATGGGAGGTGCTCGAGGGCTGTGAAGCAGTGGAGAAGGAGAGGAGACGGAGACTCTTAGGAGGTAATAATTGGCTCTACGGAACTAAACGAGAGGGCTAGGGTCACAAAAAAGGCACAAGCCCGAGAATTTATCTGTTTCTGTTCAAGGCCTTTGAGATTTCTTCTTCCTGGAATTTGTGGTGCTTTCAGTCTCTCCCCACCCCGCTGCTTATTTTCCTTATCACTCGCTTCTTAACTCCTTCCCTTCTGATTGAGGTTTCCTTGGGAGCTGAATCTCAAAGCATCCAGGCAAGTGACAAGGAAGAGTGGGAGAAGGTGAAGGGACTCTGAGGACAAGTCTCCACATTGTTAGTGGAAATGAAGGGTCCCTAAAGCAAACAGAGGTGGGGCTGGGGCGGGAAAAGAAGGGGCAGGAAATGGAGGAAGGGAGGACGGCCTTTGCTGTTCATGGGAGAAAGGGAAGGAGGGGTCAGCTGGACACTTGGAGCTGACAGAGAGATCTAAAGCCCATTCTGAAGAGGGGAGAGCAGGATTCACTGCGGAGGGGGAAGCAGCTGGGAGAGGCCTCCCCCTAAAGGGCAGAGGAGGAAGAGGAGAGCCTCTCTAGGTAGTCTGGCTCTTGTCCTGGAGGCAACTCCCAGTGACCTGCTAACAGCACCGGAGGAAAGAGCCCCACAGGTCTATACACAATTGCCTGAAGTTCTGGCATAACCACGAACTAGACATCCTAATCCTAATGCACAGAGGAAAGTTTGGCCCTTGAGGTCTCCCTGAGAACTGGTGGTATGAGAGCTATGACTAGAACACCGTCCGTTGGACAGGTATGCGCTCTTCAAAATGAACAGAATGGCTGCGAAGAGGTGGGTGCTGGACAGTGCTGTGTATGAAGAAGAGGAGCTGGTGAGGAGACCCAGGACCCCGAAGAGGGAAACAGGCAGGAGAGCACTGAACCGAGTAACTTGGTCAGTGGAGGCACCACAGATCCCCCAGGCGAAAAGAAGAAAGAGAGCAGACATTTGGGTAAAAAGGTTATAAGCCTGGCACAAAGAGTGATGTAGTAGAGATGGGGAGGGGCCTCAATTAGCCAGAGGTCTGCTGGACATTTCTCTTTACCAAAAATGAAGCAGCCATTATGTATCCCCAGCACTTCACACAGAGCCTGGCAAACAGTAGGTGCTTAATGGATGTTTGTTGGATAACTAATATTTTTGATTTGTCTCAAGGATAACTTCAGCCTTCAAAGGGTGGAGAACCCAACAATGAGAGATTCCCCTCTGGATCTGATTCTCATTAACAGGAAGGGAACGAACTTCAGGTCACGTGAGCAATGAGATGGAGGACTAGACATCTTCTCTGATCCCTACAAGCTCTCCGACCCCTCCAAAACTGAAATCATGAGCCAAAGATAAAGCAACTCCAGTTGTCTTCAGGGTCTAGGACACCCAGAATCCAAAAGAAGGTTTTAAAAAAGACAAACCCCAAACCTGTGAGTTGATACTGACTCGAGCTTGTGGGCAGCAAGGCTGTACTGGCAGAATCAAGACCCAAACCATGGGAAGAGCTTGCAACAAACCTACTCCCACACCCTGGCCACCCCCGTCCTTCCAGTGCCACGGAGAACCCGGCTCCAAGCTGAATCAATCTGCCCAGGCTGTGGCAGACAGCCAGCAGAAGGCAGGCAGCTCTCTGAACTGTCAGTGCTGGGATGGACAACCCTGTGGTACCAGTGCTGCAAAGCTCCAGGGCCAGATCCAGGTACATGGTGTGTGTGTGTGTTCAGCATTCTACCAAGCCTGAGGAAGAGCGCATAAAGCTAGGGCCAGTTCTGACCACTAAAAAGTCAACTGGGGCAATGACCTAGGCTGGTGAACCATGAATCGCCCAGTGTTGGGGGAGAAGGCTCAGATGCTTTGAGATCTAGCCCCCAAAGAAACTATAATCAGAAGGGAGGGAGTTAAGAAGTGAGTGATAAGGAAAATATGCAGGAGGGTGGGGAGAGATGGAAAACACCACAAATTCCAGGAAGAAGAAATCTCAAAGACCTTGAACATAAACAGATAGTCAACAAGTCACAATAGGAGGAAATATGCCTAATAAACAAGTCCAGGCATCTATAAATACATACTGTGAAATAAAGGAAAAGTGATCCAACCCTTAATGAGACTGAGGACCTATGTGATTTGGGAAGGGCAGGGAACACACACTGCTTAAGTGGTTTAAAAGAGAAATGAGAATTAGGAAAGCAGAATTTGTCTTGCACAGCAAAAATAATGGGCAGAACATAAAAACTTCAATCTTTAAGGGTAAGCCTCACCGAAGAAAGAAATGAGAGAACAATCGATGGGGAATGCAAATATAAGAAGTGAAGCAGGAAAGAAGGGAAGTGAAAAACAACATTAAAAAGAAATCTGTTCCCTATGCAAGCAAAACATTCTGATCTCCAAGATAAAACATGCAGAGACAATCTAAGGCTCATAGGTCTGCCAGGAGAACACAAGAAGATAGAAAACCTTAATGCCACAGAGCAGGAAATAATACAACAGAACTGCCCAGAACTTCTGAACATAGAAAATGAAATTCCAATTGAAAGAATTTGCAGATCCCACCTCCCCCCAAACAAACGAAAGAAAACAAAACCACAAGGCACAGAGTGGTTAGATTTGACAATTAATTCCGAAAGAAGGTCCATAGGCCACCAGGAGAAAGATCTTCAAACACAAAGGAAAGGAAATTTGAATGACACAACATTATTCTGAACCCACCAGAAAATGTAGGAGGGAATGGAGGAATGTGTTTAGAAGAGGAATGAAGCTCAAGATGTGCCCAGGATGACCAGATAAAAGCAGGAGAGATAAAGGATCTAATAAACAAAATCCCAAAAGGTGAAGGAGCAACAAATGAGAAACAAGCATCATGGGGAGGGGAAGACTGCTGGAAATCGGGGCCACCTTTAAAAAAAAAAAAGAA